ATTCAGAACAAGTTAACGTATGTACAATAAATTATTCAACATTATAGATGTTATGGACATACCATAAATACTATATATATGTAGTTCTCTCCTTCTTGTCAAAAGTCCACTTAGGCCTATTCAATTATTTTAGAATTTCAGTTGGCAAGCCAAACTATCTTCTCTATTTCTATCGGACTAGTACTTTCTGTGATTCACTTACAATTGTGGTGTGAGTTACCGTAATCGTTTGGTCTTTTGAAGATCCTCTGTTCCTTTTGTCAAAGTGCACTCAGGTTGATTCAATTACTTTAGAACCACGCTTTGACGAAATAAAATTATTTTTCTTATCTTGTTTTATGCTGTTAGTTTCACTCTAACATATTAAACGTTACACCTATCACTTCTATGGTAGTTAACTTCACACCAACTTTATTCTCTTTCGCTATTATCTGCCTGTTGCTTGCCACTCGTCTCACGCTATATATATTATTATCACTTACTCGTCTGCCCACCTTCTATATTCTTGACGTCAGTGTATTAATAATAGAACTTCCTAAAATCGTCTGCTTTTAACTCTTATTATAACAAAAACTAAATAATAATAAAATATTCACTCACAAAAATATATTAATCACTAATATCTCAACCAAACAGTCTTTTGTATCATGACAATGTCCTTACATGCATCAGTTGGAGTTCGAGAATACTTATATGAGTGTCACTTCTCTTCCAAATACACATTAACACAGTCTGGTGAACCTTTTCAGTTCCTTTGCACGTATGGATTCACAAAACTTGTACACAAGTCTTAGCCTTGTTGTGGCAGTGAAAGGTAGTTTTAGATGTGAGAAGTTTTGGGACTTCACCTCTCATGTCTGTTTATAATATTTTATTTGTAGTTTCGTCTTACATGTGAGTCTTTTAACTCTAAAAGACAACTCGCATCTCCATAACTGTTTGGAACCTTTTCTGGCAGATACCCTTAACTAAGAGAGATATCTAACAGAATAAGATCCAAACAGTTATATACATGTGTGTGTGTGTATGCGTTAAGGTTATGTGTAACAATATTGGAATAACAACTACATGAGTAGCAGCGACACTTTCGCTGAAAAGACAAACACTAAGAAAAAAAGAGCTATAAAAAATTGTATGATATTGTATTTTCTGCTAAATCCAAATATCATTTTGAAAGGATGTTTGTATACATTCAATCTTCACGACGTAGACTTCTCTTAGCTACACTGAAATTCAGTGGTTGCTGAGTGATGTGCACTCGTTACTAAGTGTCATTTTACGGTTGCCGGGTGACGTTTACTCGTTACTATGTATCACTTTATGGCAGATATGACTCTTAAATTTTGATATACCACGAGCTATAACTAGTAATGTTTTATGTGAAAACAATTAATTAAATAGTGGTCCAATAATATATTCGAAACACTGTTGTTCATCACGTCGAAGAACAACTTAACTAGAAAGTTCACCTCGTTAATTGTCTGAAATATTTAAATAAAGAAAATATCTTATTGTAAATGTTAGCTTGTGTACCTGTAGAGGTATATCAGAAATTTACGAAAATATCTTTTATTCTCTTTGTTTGCTTATGCATTTCATTCTAAATATTACTTTGATATATCTTAATGACATGAATTAAGCAGCTTTTCGAAAACTTGGTAGAAACTTTTTAGTACCTAGGTTGTCTATAATAAACAGACACCTAAAACTTTTTCCTCCTCTTTCTAACATTTTACATTAAGTTTACAGATAATCTGAAACTGCAAGATTTAAGGTAGCTCTGTAAAATTTTGTGTAACGTTCGTAGTCCCAAAACTCGCTGTTGAAAAGCTTGGACAAATCTTCACGACTTTGGTTTTTTCGGATAATATTTCAATAATTCACCAGATGTTTTACGAAATAAACCTTTCTTTTGTTCTTTTTACAGTGAAAAGTACTTTTTCCAACTCGGCGTCTTCTCTTCCATTCTCTTGGACACTCGTGGCTGTGAACTTAGGGGTTTTGCTTACTTTAGGTCTGCTGGCAATCCGCTGTCACTAGTCCGTCTCCAGGTTCCAGAAGAAGAAGACAACGAACTACGTACAAGAAGGCTCAGATGATTGTGTTTGCTAAGGACTCAGTGTTCAAAAAATTTCTTTGGAAAGCTCTTCTCGATGACACACTAAAATGTACTTTGTTGACAAAATATCATGTTTATAAGCAACAGCTGTCACTGTTTTTGAAACCCTTTATTTGATCGTGTAGCGGTAGCTCTCACAATATTCAATGTGCCAAAGTTATCATATAAGACGCACCGTTACTACGCTTCCTAGCGTTGCTCAAAAGGACTCTCCAGCAGTTTTGCTAAAGTCATCTGAGACTAGAACTTTCATTTTCTGATATTTGATTTTGTAGATTCTTTCTCTTTCCGATAATTGGCGATTTTTGATAAAGTTGCGAACACTGAAAATGGTGGCTTAAAATACAAACCAAATCTCTGATAGAATAAAGATTTAACTAAGGAGAAGAAACTACTTATCGACATTACCACAAGCGACATGACAGGGAACAGGCTACCTTGGTCATATATTCGATAGATACCTTATTATAATAGAGATAACTGTGCAGTACTGTTTAATTCATGATTTAATCTACTGTAAACTTCTAAAATTGTTAGTTTACAATATTTCTCATGTTGTTTTCATATATATACTACATCAATTGCCTTCAAAAGTTTACTATTGCGGCCAAAAAAATATACTTCCTACCCTAAAAACACAGTTCTTGTAAACTGTCCTAATAGTAAAAATATCCTACTTCCTAACCTTAAAACACAGTTCTTGTAAACTGTCCTAATAGTAAAAATATCCTACTTCCTAACCTTAAAACACAGTTCTTGTGAATTATCCTAGTAGTAAAAATATCCTACTTCCTAACCTTAAAACACAGTTCCTGTAAATTATCCTAGTAGTAAAAATATCATACTTCCTAACCTTAAAACACAGTTCTTGTAAATTATCCTAGTAGTAAAAACATCATACTTCCTAACCTTAAAACACAGTTCTTGTGAATTATCCTAGTACTAACTATATCATACCACTTACCCTTAAAACGCAGTTCTTGTGAATTATCCTATTAATAAAGCTATGAAATAACATGTATTTAACCATAAAAATCCTGCTCTATAATTCTGTGAAGTAATAGCTTAAGAGCCCTTTACTTTAGTAATACTTATTAGCTGAATTCTAATAAGACTCCTATAGTTAAGCTCCACAGAACACCTTATTACATAATATTATTTGCTCCAGTGAATGTAGTTAATCACTTTCTTATCCACTAAATATGAAAACATTTAATGTTATAAACCTCTTAAATACCTCATTAAAAATTACGTAGAGCTAGAATTGAAAGTTCCTGTGTATTTAACCATAAGAAAATCTATTATTTTAATCTCTCAAAAACCCCTAACGTTAATATTAAGAAGACCCCTTATTTCAATCTTGATAACTACTCTGACAGTAACCTTGATAAAGTCTCAGATGCTACCCTTTTTTCATGTGGCTACTCTAATCACAATAAACCTCCTGGAATAAAGTGGGGGTTTTTAAATCTGTAAGCATGTACCCAAAAACTGACAAGATGTTATTCTGTGCCTTGTAACTACCATTACAAGGCATTGTAAAAAATAGTAATATTACATGAATATCGTTATGATAATTAAGATGCTCGGTAATAATAAGATATAAATCAGGTTAATAGCTTAACCGAAAACCAGCAAAAATACAATAAATATTTTAATGAGAAGAAAATAAGGGAAACACATGAAAGAAAATGTAGCCGACTCATAAAACTTTGAGTCAGCTGTCGAACCTGAGATTTGATATATTGCCAAGAATATTTATCTCATTTCAACACCAATACCTTAAACTATTATTTACGAAATTACGAATAACGATATTTAACGACTAGTAATGTTCACTACATAAGAGTAATTTCTTACTATGTTGTACATTTAGTAAGTGATTTAGTACTACATCCAAATCTGCTAATCAGACTACTAGTATCTCAGTACAAACCAAAGTCATAGCCAACAATTTGGGATTTACCTTGGCAGCGGACCAGTATATTCCACAATGTAAGCTAAACACAGACTAGACTACAGATGAAAAACTTACCAGAACAGGAGCGCAACACATGCTAGAACATGGGTTAAACACATGCTAGACTACAGATAAAACACATTCCAGAACACGAGTTAAACACAGACTAGACTACAGATAAAAGACCTGCCAAAACAGGAGCTAAATACATGCTAGACTACAGATAAAACACACTCCAGAACGTGGGTTAAATACATGCTAGACTACAGATAAAACACATTCCAGAACATGAGCTAAACCGTGCTAGACTACAGATAAAACACACTCCAGAACATGGGTTAAATACATGCTAGACTACAGATAAAACACATTCCAGAACATGAGCTAAACCGTGCTAGACTACAGATAAAAAACCTGCCAAAACAGGAGCTCAACACATGCTAGACTACACATAAAACACATTCCAGAACATGGGTTAAACACATGCTTGACTACAGATAAAACACATTCCAGAAAACGAGCTAAACCGTGCTAGACTACAGATAAATCACATGCTAGAACATGGGTTAAACACATGCTAGACTACAAGTAAAACACATTTCATAATACGAGTTAAACCGTGCTAGACTACAGATAAATCACATGCTAGAACATGGGTTAAACACATGCTAGACTACAAGTAAAACACATTCCATAACACGAGTTAAACCGTGCTAGACTACAGATAAATCACATGCTAGAACATGGGTTAAATACATGTTAGACTACATATAAAACACATTCCAAAACATGAGCTAATCACATGCCAAACTACAGATAAAAAATCCACAACTCGAGAAAACGTATTATATAAATTACATAGTCTAAACATGTGTTATACCTAATACGGTGGTATAAGTACAATATTATCTCCAAATATTCGATGTAACATGTTTGATAACTTTCCCAATAATTCAAATGTAAATGAAAACCACTCTCTGAATAACATGGATGTTACATTTATTATCTATAGAATTAACAGCAATTCATTACCAAGTGTGGCTGAAGAAGTCTCATTCTAACATAGGCTCTAACTGGTGAACATTTAAGTAAGTCTTTAACAGTGTACATAATACACTGTCATTATCGTTTTACAGGTATTGTTGTGTTAACAAATGAAAAGATACCATATACGTATTGGAAAATTATATTAGATCACCAGGGGATAAGTTCCTACCTATACTGAATGATATAACTTGTATAATTTCTATTTTATTAAATTGAAAAACTGTCCTGTAAGGGAATTTGGTTTCAACATTGAAATACTATTTTCGATACAAAAAAAATATATAAAATAAACAACAACAGAAAACAAAATCATTATCCATTAAAAATTCGGTTAAAATATTGTGGTGTCGAACTAATATGTTTTATAATTCTGTTGAATTTCTTATTTGTTTCTTAATAACACCAGACATACTGTACTAAAACTAAGTCTCAACGAACAGGTATGGTAACTTAACTACCCTTAACCTTATATGTTGCTGTTGTAAAGTTTACCGTTTTACTGCGATAAACACTTTTGTCTAAAGTGATTTCAAATTCTTCTGTTGGGCTCCTTTTCACCGCTCATAAGAAATACTTACAAGAATATATAGAAAATGCATAGCTGGCAATATCACGGCCACTCTCGGGTTTTCATGCTTCTTCGCAAACGACAACAGACTTTCAAGGATCAGTACAACCTTTATTACTCCATTCAAATTATGTAAATACTAAGTTTTTCATTCCCTTAGGCTAAAGACGCGTTTACTATTAATAGCTAATGTAAAAAAAATACGTCCTCGTATGAGTTATCTCCAACGATGTGTTGATGCGATAAGTTTTATAAAAGAATCACAAGTATTGGGGTTAAGTATTAGAGTGAAGGAATATGATAACAAGTTATAAACAGAAGACAGAAATGAAATAGAGAACATGTGTCATGATGCTTATTGGATATTATGGAAATAATTCATGTTTAAACCGTTTTTCTTGTGCATGTAAACTGTCGAGATTGTATTTAATCGAAACTACGAATAAATATTCTTCATTCAAGGCATGCATTATAAATGGAATTGCTTTTTTCTCTATCTATCTTCAGATTCATCAAATAACTAGCAGAAGTACTCGTCCGTTGGACGGGGGAAATAAAAACTCGTTTGTAACAAAGGATAGGAAATTGTGTTTCTATTTTTATTTCTTAACATAATAAACATTAAAAGTGCAATAAAAATACATAAAGGTACCAATACTGAAAAGAAAGACATACTGGTTTCAAACATTCTATCAATAGGAAATTAGATGGGGGGGTAACCCCCTCGTGACCTTCCTCATGTTATCCTATGTCACTGTGTCAAGTTTGGTGATGATTGATCAGGAAATGTGGAAACGTATGAGGAAGAGATACAAAGACATATTGACGTTTATTTATATAGATGATGGGGGGCAACCCCCCTCATGTAATCCTATATCACTGTGTCAAGTTTGGTGCCGATTGATCAAGAACTGTGGAAACGTATAAGGCATAGATGTGTAGTGGTGGATATTAAGTCTTATCCTAGACCAACACAAAAAATAGTTTCTAATTCAAAAATAAAGTTATTAAATGAAACTAAAAATAAATAAGACACAACGTAGGTTATCATTTCTACACATGTAGTTAACTTCATGGGGTTGATATCATACACCATGAGATATCTTGTCATGTGGATCATTTCTACACATACAGATAAGCTGATGGGACTGGTATGACACACCAGAATATTCTTTGTCATGAGGATCATTTCTACACATGCAATTAGCTTGATGGAACTGGTATGACACACTAGGAGATATTTTGTCATGTGGATCATTTCTACACATGCAGTTAACTTCATGGGACTGGTATGACACATCATAAGATATTTTGTCATGTGGATCATTTCTATACATGCAGTTAGCTTGATGGGACTGGTATAACACACCATGAGATATTTTGTCATGTGGAACTTCAATGCTTGTAAACCACAAATCTCCATTAACAATTCCAAATTCTGTCTTGCATGTACTTACAAGTGTGTTAGAGTCTGGAGACAATGTAGTGAACGTTGTTTCTTAAAGCATGAAGAAGAACATAATCAATAAGGAGGATGACCTGCCGTGGTGTGAGGAGCATATAGGGAAGGATTGGCTTATATGTCATTCAAAGCAACACCATTTTCGCAGTTATGTACCAAGATAAGATTCTGTGCCTTACAGTGAGACTTGTGATGGTCTAGCTGGGCCAAGCTTCATTATGGTTCATAACAGTACCCACTCTTATCAAACAAGGCTCATCACGCTTATTGAACAAGAAGCGATTTAGAGAATCGTTCGGCTAAAACGATTCCTGAACTGAACCTTTTGAGCATGCGTGAGGCATCCTACAGAAGGTTCAAACAGCACACCCAAGGTAACAGAGGACTTTGCAAGAGTTTCAAAACTTCCTTACAGAATAACGGACACAACAGTCAGGAGTTTACTCTACTTTTATTTCAGGTAGTTTCAACAAAGCTACAACTCAGACCAATACATAATAACTTCATTTTTGTTAATGGAGATAAAATAGAGGCGAGTGGAAAATCTCAAACTAGACTTACATTCAATGCTGTCTCTCGCAAAAAAATATTATAATAATACTCATTTCCGTCTGTCCTGAAAATATTCACGTACCTTACTATCTAAATGCGCATGCGCGTGCACTTCATTTCAACGGATTTTAATATACTTTAGTAGATATTTTGTACAACAACATTTCCGCTTTTATAGGCCCCCGAGTGAGTCAGATGTAAGTTTGAAGACTTATAACACGATGTTCAAGTAGGATGTTAATACTGCTACACGTCATCATTAATATATAAATGGAAGAGAGTTAGACCATACGTCATTGAAGCAGCTCACGAACCTTAGAAATCTGGAAAATTAAGGATAAATATAAACTGAAAATATAATCATAAATTAACTTGGTAGAGTATGGGATTTAATGGGTTAATTCTTCTTGTTTCTAGAGCAGGACGAACGACCTTTCCGCTTTTATAGCCCCCGAGTGAGTCAGACGTAAGTTTGAAGACTTATAACCCGAAAAATTGGGGCATAACACAGACAGCCTTTTGTGTAGTTGCGCTTAGCAACAAACAAATAAATCGCTTTTATGGTAAGGCATTTTTAAACAAAAATTAACTTTCTTAAGGAGAAAACCAAACTAATATTCAGAAATGAGTTAAGCATAAGATAACAGGTCATTGTAAGTGAAAGAGTTCAATAAGATATATTTTTGAAATGGTTATTTGAATTCACTGGTATGTTTGTGTTATTCTGTTTTTATTTTTTATTTTTCTCTACAATGGGTCCCTGTTTTCATTGGTTTAGAGCTTTTTCTTTGGAATGGGTTCCTGGTTTCATTGGTTTACAGCTTTATCTCTAGAATGAATCCCCGTTTTCATTGGTTTACAGCTTTCTTTCTCTCTCTCTCTTTTTTTAATATTAAGTAAAAAACTTTTCTACGTATTAAAGGTTTAGTAGAAAAGTTTAAAATTTTCTTAGAATTTTTATTTATTTTTCCGAGACTTTTCATGAATCAAAATTATTATTCAAAATAAGTATTATGGAGTAAAATGTAAACCAGCTGTTATTATATAGGATGAAATAAAAAAAACTCATAAAGAATGTGTTGTAGTACGAAATAATGTGAACACTATGCTTAGACTACAAGTAACGTAAATCATTACCTCCAAAATATGAATCTCATACTAATAATAGCAATCATTACCTCCAATAGCCTGATTCTCTTACTGGTAATAGCAATCATTATCTCCATAGTCTGTTTATCTTACTGGTAATAGCAATCATTATCTCCATAGTCTGTTTATCTTACTGGTAATAGCAATCATTACCTCCAATAGTCTGACTCTCATACTAATAATACCAATCATTACCTCCAATAGTCTGACTCTCATATTAATAATACCAATTATTACCTCCATTAGTCTGATTCTTTTACTGATGATAACAATCATTACCTCCGATAATTTGTTTCTTTTACTGATAATAGCAATCATTACTTAAAATATTGTGATTCTCTTATTGGTAATAGCAATCATTTCCTCCAAAAGTCTGATTCTCTTGCTGGTAATAGCAATCATTTCGTTCTATAGTCTGATTCTCTTGCTGGTTATAGTAATCATTACCTCCAATAGTCTAACTCTCATACTAATAATACCAATCATTACCTCCAATAGTCTAACTCACATATTAATAATACCAATTATTACCTCCATTAGTCTGATTCTTTTACTGATGATAACAATCATTACCTCCGATAATTTGTTTCTTTTACTGATAATAGCAATCATTACTTAAAATATTGTGATTCTCTTACTGGTAATAGCAATCATTTTGTCCAATAGTCTGATTATCTTGCTGGTAATAGCAATCATTTCGTCCAATAGTCTGATTCTCTTACTGATAATAGCATTGTTTGTTTGTTTTTGAATTTCGCGCAAAGCTACACGAAGGCTATCTGCGCTAGCCGTCCCTAATTTAGCAGTGTAAGACTAGAGGGAAGGCAGCTAGTCATCACCACCCACCGCCAACTCTTGGGCTACTCTTTTACCAACGAATAATGAGATTGACCGTCACTTTATAACGCCCCCACGGCTGAAAGGGCGAGCATGTTTGGTGTGACGAGGATTCGAACCCGCGACCCTCAGATTACGAGTCGAACGCCCTAACCAATAGTCTGACTCTCTTAGTGATAATAGCAATCATTACCTCCAATAGTCTGATTATCTTACTGATAATAGCAATCATTTCGTCCAATAGTCTGATTCTCTTACTGATAATACCGATCATTACCTCCAATAGTCTGATTCTCTTACTGATAATAGCAATCATTACCTCCAATGGTATTATAGGAAGTGATTTTTGTAACTGGCGTCCTAAATATTTAAATGAATTCTATTAGTGGAATGATACCGTTCGCTACTTCCTTAAAATATTAATGTACTGGCTTTTTAGACTTTCAAATAAGCATGGTTTACACGCTGCTAAGTATATGATAAGTCGAAAAATCGGTGTTGTCCAATTGTTGTCTTTAAACTTATATGTCCTTGTTTGTTTTTCGTAGTAGTTTCGAACAGTAGGTCAGTCGTAGTTGTAATGAAAGCTTGTGAATTTATAAATTTTGTTGCTGACTAAGCGACCCTATATTTAGGAGAAAGTGTAATTTAATGCGATCCAATGTGAATCATTTTCTTATAAATGTTTTTGTTATAAATCAATTCTTTAATCCTACCATTCTGGTAGTCCATGTAATTAAATAGATTAAATGATCTGAAGTTTATCGCTATGAGCACAACAATTGTTAGAATTTGAATACTCTGACAGGATAAAGATAAAGGTAAAATAAACTTTCTATTTCAACTAACGTTTAGCCATTGCTACTTCATTAGGACTAATAGTACAAAACCTATTTTTTGTATTACTAGCCTTGACGAAACGTTCGTTCAAATAAAAGTTTGTCTTATTATTACCTGGAGAGTAAATCTCGTTTTTTTTTTCCTAACTCTATTGTCAATATGTCTAAATCCCTCCAGTATACAATACAAAGTGTGGTACAGTTTAAATTTGATCTAGGACAGACATCAAGTACTTTTTTTTGCTGTGTTTCTCTATTATGTTTTTCCTTTTGAAAGGACTTAAGATTATATTTCTCGATGAGTAGAAGAGTCTGGAAATCAGAACAATGAGAAAAGGTAAGCCTAAAAGTTTACATTGTTGTACACTAGCAACTGAAATGAATGACAGAGAGACATCTTTCTTGTGATTAATTAATTAATCAGTTATTCCAAAGACCGTGAAGCGATATTTGATAAAATGACTTTTTTATTATAATCCATTTTAAAGACTGTGAATTGAAGAACGTCTATATTTAACAAAAATCGACTTTGGTGGAGCAACAAACTGTTAGCTTCATTATAGGAGATATATAAAAATTCCTTACCTCGATTAATGTGGTTATGCTACTGGTAATATGAATTATTAAT